GCCAACCAGATCAAGCTATTGAGCCATCGGCCACAAGCAGCATAACCACATCCTCATGTTTCCAGAACACTCCAGAGGAGGATGTAGAAGAAAACGATTCTGAGAAAGATGACATAGAGGAGAAAGATCGATCTAGGGCAAATCTGTTTGTTCCAACCAAAAAACGCAAAAGAAAGAACGACGTGGTGGAGCAAGTCACAAAAGTTGTGAATGTTTTGGAGGCGATGGTGAAAAACGATCCAACCAAGGAACTTCTCGCATTCATGAAGGAAGATGCTGAGAAATCCAGGCAAAGTGAGATCGAGCTACTGAAGCTTCTAGCTGGTCAGTCTCAAGGACCATATCCATACGCCCAGAACTCATCACTAACTCTTCAACAAGAACACCAGCAGCAAAAACAACAGCAGAATTTTGTAGAATTTACCACAACCAAGGCAACATTGGATGCAACTTGAATCATCAGCTCCTCGTGCACCTTCCAATCGTTTTTATCATGATGATAATGTGTCTACATCTACTGCACCAATTCAGATGAGTGACTACCAGAAACTCTAAAACTTTATGAAAACTAATGTTATTTTCTGTCATAATTGTGTGATTGCTTTGGTGTGTATTTCCATATAACTATAGCAACTATAAAGAAATTAAGTGTGCTTAAGGAAGGTTTGTAGTGTGTGACAAATAATTGCGTATAATGTGGTATGTTTTTCACTAGTTTAACCTAGTTTTACTTAATAACTTCTATTTATAATTTTACAACGGTAATACATTGCTAATCAAGGACTTCTTGTAATACGTGTGATGATGCTTATTTGCACGGAAAAAAATATTTATATAATACGATGTCTCAACGCGAAAATGTACGAAATAATAATTTCACTTTGAAGATATATATAATGTAAAAAACTCCATATCCTTGTTTTTCTTCCCATAGTTTTCGTTTTAATGCTGCTTGTATTTTGCATGCCTGAACTGATATTTGATGAACCTTGCCGCAATTACGCATGTTAAGCAGGTCTCGAACGGCTTCTCTGTCACGTCGTTGAAACGTTGCTGGATCAGTAGTTAGGTCAAGGTTCGCAGGAAAGGGTTCCCTGTGTTCAATACAGATGTTGTGAAGCACAACACAAGCTAATGTAATGGGCTTTATTGTTTGCTCATTGCATTCGCTTCTTCTATGTAAAACTCTAAATCTCCCCTTTCACTGCCCATAAGCACATTCAGTCACAATCCTTGCTCGGGATAAGCGATAGTTGAAATACGTTTCTTCAGGTGTGAGAATGGCAGATGTGAATGGCTTCATCATCCAGTGTGTGCAAGGAAAAGCAGAATCTGCTACGATTAGTGGACCTACTTCTTCTCTTTCAATTTGTTTCGAAATCAAAGGAATAACGTTGTTTTCTGTGATGTCTTTCCAAAGCTGGGTCGACTGGAAGATGATGGAATCATGACTATTGCCAGGAAATCCAGCACTTGCCCAAACAAACCGATATTTAGCGTCAACAAGCCCCATTAATACTATTGAGTAGAAATTCTTGAAGTTATGATACTCTTTTGCAGCTTCGTGGCCTCCATCAGGACATTTTATAGGTATGTGGTATCCATCAACTGCAGCCCAACAGACTGGGAATTGCCACCTTTCTTCCATGTCGATGATTTTTTCTTTCATCTCTTTTTTTGTAGAAGGAAAAAGAGAAGAAACAGCACTGTTCCACAGGTTGTGCACAATTGCCTCGCAAACTTCAATTACAATGACTTGTATAGTAGAAGTACCAAGTCCACACATTTCAGCAAGGGTATAATAGTAATCACCTCGTGCTAGTCTGTAAAGGCAAATTGCCAATCTACAGGCTGGCGATATTGCTTGTTCCGTTATGGTAACTTTTGTCAAATGGTGCTGAACTTTGCCAAGAATCGTGATAAAGATATTCCGCGACACTCTAAACGTATTCCTAAACCGACTTTCAGAATAGTTAGCCCATACAAAATTCCACCAATTCCACCATTTTGTGGTTCTTTCGAGACGGCGATATTGACGAATTCGAGGCTTTGTGGGCTTAATGAACATCATTGTAATTGATGACAAACATAACTGAAGAATCTTGTTCCTTCTTGTTTTGATACTGTGCAATATTCGCAATTGCTTTTGGCGTCTTTCTCTTCTTATTTTCAAAATTTGCTTTGAAATAATTGACTTCGTAAAAGCCGCCATATATTGCTTATGTAAATTAGTGTTAATAATTGCGACGAATAAATTCGACGTCTAAACTGAGCACGTCGAACGTCGCATTTACGTCGCACAAAACTGCGGTTAAATGCGACGAGTTAAAATCGACTAAAATGCGACGTCGAATCTAGGCCTAATAGCCTGTTCTGGTGACTTAATAGCCTTTTCTGGTGGCTTAATAGCCTGTTCTAGTGGCTTAATAGCCTGTTCTGGTGACTTAATAGCCTTTTCTGGTGGCTTAATAGCCTGTTCTAGTGGCTTAATAGTCTGTTCTGGTGACTTAATAGCCTTTTCTGGTGGCTTAATAGCCTGTTCTGGTGGCTTAATAGTCTGTTCTGGTGGCTTAATAGCCTGTTCTGGTGGCTTAATAGCCTGTTCTGGTTGCTTAATAGCCTGTTCTGGTGGCTTAATAGCCGGTTCTGGTGATTTAATAGCCTTTTCTGGTGGCTTAGTAACCTGTTCTGGTGGCTTAATAGTCTGTCCTGGTGGCTTAATAGTCTGTTCTGGTGGCTTAATAGTCTGTTTTGGTTGCTTAATAGTCTGTTCTGGTGGCTTAATAGCCTTTTCTGGTGTCTTAATAACCTTTTCTGTTGACTTAATAGCTTATTCTGGTGTCTTAATAGCTTGTTCTGGTGTCTTAATAGCCTGTTCTGGTGACTTAATAGTCTGTTCTGGTGGCTCAATAGCCTCAAAGTCCTCGCAGTTGAAGGGATTGTCATTTCCCGCCAAAATCAAAAGTGTGTCATCGTCACGTTCGGGATCTGCTTGATTTTCAGAATGAGAATGTGTGATATTTTCGCAAACCATGGCATGTTCAAGCTGGGAAATTATTTTATTACACACTTCCATGTTAGATTTGAGATCAGAAACTGTATATGAGATAGTGCAAAGTTGCCGCAGCATTTCCTGGTTAATTTTGTTATGATTTGACTGATCTGTTTCGATCTTTTAAACTTCGAAGATCGGTGGGTAGAGTCGCCTGAATGAGATATTTTTCGCTTGTGGTGATTAGATATGGTCTAAAATATATCTGGGTATATATAGTATAATATAAAAAATATTATAATTTAAAAATAATATAAAATATATAAAGTGTCTAGAGAGATTGAAAAAACAAAAAGGAAAGGGTAAAAAGATGATGATAATTTGCCTACCTGAAGCTTATCTGTATATTTCACTGTTATTTTCAAGGTGTTATTTTAACTCCCAAAATAGGGGTCACAAAAAAAAGTCTAAAATAAGCCCTTTTTTGGGGTTAAAGTGATCCCCCTATGGGTATTAAAATTTAACCCCGATTTTGGGATTAAAATGACACCTGTTTGGGTTTTAAAATGAAACCTGTTGGGTATTAAAAATTTCATCCCGTTTAGGGTGTTAAATCTACTTAATACCAATACGGGATTAAAAGACACAGGTTTTAAAATAATTAATTGTAGATTTTTAAAAGCTCACCTAAAGGTAAATTACTTCGATGGAAAGACATTTTCGCTTGATTTTCTTTTCAATTGTGATCTATCAAGTGAATCTGTTTCGGTTTAATTTCACAATTGAAAAGAGAATTGAGCGAAATATTCCGTTCCATCGAGGATTTCCACCTCCATCTATATATAGTGAAAAACCGCAATAAAAATACCGAATCAACAAACAAGCAGCACAAATATCGTTATTATATATTATTATAATATTGAACACATGAGATCAATTAGGTTTCCGTTTGAGTACAGCAAGTCAACTACGCATTAAAGGAATTGCTTCTATAGTATAGCTCTTTAATACTTTTTATTTACATTTTAATACACATGCACATTTGCAAAAAAATTAAGAAAATGTTTTTAAGTGGAGTAGCATGCATGCATGAAACACAATGGTATAGTCATTAAGGCACTTGCTGTTCAGTTCCACTAAGCTAAGACTCACTCAACCAAGATGATGATCTGGCTGTAAGCAATACTGATTCACGTTTCTTCTTTTACAATTTGCCTCGTAGTAAAATTTGCGGGGGGTTGTTTTTGCGATAATTGCACGAAACGAGTCTTCATTCTACGAACAAATAGAAAAATTGCATGTATATGAGTGTAAATATGAGTAGTGTGCTTAGTATGCATACACCAGAGCACATTGTTCAACAGACCTGCAAAATCTATGTTCTACGTGATCCAAAATGCAAACATACTCAAACAAATAAGCAGAAACATGTGAGTATAAGGAAGGAATAATTTCAAGTAACTTACCTAATATAAAAAAATAGGAAAAAATATTCCACATACCTAGATTTGCTGCCCGCAGCGTTACCAGGATAAGTTGCTTCGTCCATTGAAAATTGAACAGTTTATTTTAGAGTTGTTTTCAACATCGTTTTGCTAGGCTAGGGCTTTCTGGAATTGAAATGCATCCTAATCTTCAGAAATTTTAATAATCCTTCACAATCACCCCACTTTTTCTTTGAGTTTCCCATTGGCACTGCTTCTTCTACCCTCTACCGGGCATTGTGGACCTCTGTCCTTCTACTGCTTCTAAAGATACGAATGCGAATTGTTATAGACTATTTAAATATCCCAGGAACTTTTAAGGTAAATATCGGAGGCTCGCGATATCATGTATTCATGCTGATCAGAAACACAAAAATACTTCCCTGTCAGTTTTGCGACTGAAAAACTATTTTCCCAACAGCCCCAAAGAATCGAAAGAATTCGACAAAGCCTTCACCGATAATTGTTTCAATTCAATGTATGATCTCAACTTACAGAAGGATCAGCTTGCTCAACTTCTCAGAATGGCATCCACGAATCAACTTTTTCAGTTTGATGGTCAACTTTACGAGCAGTGCGAAGGAGTTGCTATGGGATCCCCCCTTGGTCCTTTGTTGGCGAACGTGTTCATGTGCCATCTGGAAGAAAGACTATCTGACAATGATCTAATACCTCCTTTCTACAGGCGGTATGTTGACGATACGCTTGCAATAGTGCCTGGACTCGATGTAGCTGAAAGTTTCCTCGATGCACTCAATGGACTCCACCCTAGTATTCATTTCACTATGGAACTTTCCAACAATGGCTTAATTCCCTTTACTGGTATGTCGATAACAAAGAACGGCAACAAGTTGGAGACCCAGGTCTATCGTAAACCTACGGACACGGGCCTTTTACTTCATTTTCAAAGTCATACTGATTTACGCTATAAGAAGTGTCTTATCGAAACAATGTTCCATCGCGCAAAGGAATTGTCCTCTACGCATCAAGCATTTGTCGATGAATGTAGGCATTTAAAATCTATGTTTAATCACCTTGGTTACCCTAGTTCTTTGGTGAATGGCATCATCGACAAATGTGATTATCCCTCTACACCAGATGCTAAGACAAAATCTGATGCCGAAACTTTAAGAGTCAGTATTCCATTCAAAGATCAAGTTTCAGCGAACACAGTCAAAAGGCAAATGCGCGATCTCAGTCCAAAAATCGGCATTGACGTACAGCCAGTCTACATTAGCAAGAAACTCGAGCAGGATCTAAAGCTTAAAGAAATCAAGCCACGTATCGTAAATCAGCATAACGTTGTTTACTGTTTTAAATGTGATCTGTGTGATTCAAATTACGTCGGATATACGACGCGCCATCTGTTTCAACGCATCGCTGAACATCGATATTCTGCTATTGGTCGCCATCTGAGAGATGCCCATGGGAACATTGATTTACTCAATGAGAGCCAGTTTAGAACGCTTAAGAAGTGTAGTACGAAATGGGATTGTCTCGTTTATGAGATGCTGTACATAAGAACAATAAGACCTAATTTAAACACTCAGAGCGACTCCATTAGGGCCAAACTCTTTGTTTAACTTTCAATAATTTATTCATCTCTTCACTATATATACTCTATTTCATAATTGTATTTTTCACTTGATAATGACGTTCTGGAAACGTCGAAACGTCGTGACATGTTTTATAATATTTTATCGCAGATTTTTATTGTCAAATCTTATAAAATAAGTTGTAAGTAAAATTTTACTCGTTAAATACTTTCAATTCAGCTCGTTGGTTGACGCACCTGACTTTGTTTACCGAAGATTGTGCCGCTAGAATATGATTACAAGCTTTCTCGCATTCCAGGGGCCAAACGTCTTTTGTGTTGTAGAACAAAGAGGATATTCATGAATATTAAGTGGTTGCGTTTTTTTTTATACACCCTGTACATATTCCGTTTACGGATGGTGAATTAACAATATTAGTCCATTCTATATCAAGGGTACGGATCGCAACCTTATCAAGGGCCTACCTAACCATAATATCTAATGCATGGCAGGAATTAATACTGCTCATTTATTTCGAACCGGCGTTGTTCAAGGTTGTGCTTTTCACCGGTGCATGGATTTCGATCAAGAACCTTTCTCAAAACGTGTTTTATACGTACGTATTTTTACGTCTGGATATAAGTCTGGACTATTCGTGTTAACCAGGCATCAACTAGTGAAATTTGCGTCTTCAGATTAATGCGTGACAAAGCAGCGAAATCAGCAGCGAACAGTTTTTCCTGTGGTTCTACGATACAGGATCTGATTTCAGGATTCCGTTCATTTGGCGAAGTTCTCATAAACATAACGATTGAGTAAAGCCCAATATTTTGATGTGGTATTTTAATTGCGAGTCCACGAAAACTCTTTGATCCATAGCTTCTGAAATTAAGTATATTATTGGGCATATACATGACCAAGGAATGAAAAGATTTGAACTTAGGTGTCTGGTGAAAATTTAACTTATTCTTAAAATTTCGCTAAAACTAAACAAAGAACTCAAATATGCTGAATTCCTTGATGTATGATGGAAAAATTAAGTGATTCTGTAAACGAGATGATCATCAATGTCAACGAGTTTCACCCTTAAAAAAGCCGTCCTACCTTTTCAATGGCTGATTTTGTCTCGCGAACAAGAAATTGCTATAAATCTATTTAACTGTGGGCTTCGGACGTCAAATTGGTTCATTGTTTTGGTCACTTGACTTCATGTTATTGGTATTCATTTGTTCTAATTTTAAATTTTCGCGCAAATCATACAGTACTGCAAAAAGCATTCGGACGAACATACAGCCAAGGAAAGAAGAGACATTGCAGACAGTATTAATTTCAGCTGAAGGTGGAGATGTTATGACTGGATATTTTACAGCGAGCTTTTAAGCAATTGCACGCAGATTTATAGTTAATTACGGCTATTATTTTCCACGCGTTCAAATTTAGAACAGGGTTGCCAGATTACTGAAAAAAGAAGCCAAACATTGTTTTAGTCGGCCGAACACTGTTTATACAGGCCAAAACTGCCTGTTTGAGTTTCTCATTGCCATTGGTCCTTGGGCCCAATTTTATGCGGCCCGTGCTAAAAATTCGCGTAGCGTAAATTGGGCTTGTGCCTGTAGATTAACTGTTCTCTCCCACTATTTCCAGCAGTGAACTTTAAGTCAACGAAACGGCAATGTGATGTTTAAGAACTCGCACTTCATTTGTTGCTGCTATTCTGCGATTTTACATAATTTAAACACATCTATAAATACGCTATTAATTTTTGGCGTTAATATCGTAAATTTTTAGGTATCTTGTTGATTCATGTAATTTGAGGAGTGAAGATTAAATTAGGATTATTAAAGTGAAAACCTAACCATGCTAGTTCACCTAAACATCAATTGGATCTGTTGATAGCAAAAAAATTGTTGAAATCCGATAGCAGCATAAATATCAAGTATTTGAGTTATAAGCTATCGACCGCCAAACAGGCTACCGATCATGTACGAAACGCTACGCTGCTGTCAGCAGCTAAATTGGACAAATTATGCATATCTGAAACTTTATTCCTAGAATACTAAATTTATGGAGTATTATTTTCTTTGGCAGGAAAATGCACAAAAGTTTCATGTATTCACGGCTACTGTTCTAACACTAATGGCTCAGAAATTTGTCATTGTGACAAGGGTTTCATATATAACGGACAAGCTTGCAAAGGTATATAATAAATAAATCCAAACAAACTTTTCCACGTGTTATATATATGAAATATAGGACGTCGCGAAAATGGCCTGAATACGCATCTATGGTTGTGGTTACGCCATATCGACGCCATTTTTACAGTGCCTTATAGGCGCCACCGGGTGTTTGTTAAATTTCGCTAATACTCCCTATATTTCGCCTACACGCCTAAAAACATCGAACAATGTTGTTACACCAGATTCATTTTCAGCAATATTTGTTCAATTTTGTTGACAAGTGTGAACAATAATGGCACCACAACATTGCTCCATGTTGATAAAACGCCTCCAATTATTGTTTTGTTGATATAGTTTCGCCCTTAAAGTTCATAACATCGAGGTATTTTCTGTAGCCTCTTTTGAATCTTTTGTTTAGATATTGATGAGTGCGTGCCATCTCCGTGCAATCTATATACAGGTCTGGAACGATCATGCAACAACACTCCAGGTTCTTACATTTGTATGTGCAAACATGGGTCCACTTTTAAGGAAGCAAGATGTACAGGTATGTACATACTCTTACTTTTTTATTTTTTTCGTTTAACCAGATTTTCATAAAAGCAAATTATACTCCTTTGTACCACCTCGTGACTAATTTTTACCGTTTTTGCTTTGTAAAGTTTCTTAACTGAAACTTTTTTCTGTCTTGTCACAGCGCTTTTGCGCGCGAAATATTTCGCAAATTGTTCTGTCTTGACCTGCATTTGGTTCTTGCTCTGATCATTCCTCAAGCAGCTGAACAGTTTCAAATTCGAATAACGCCGGGTTTCGCACACTCACACTGAAGTTTATTTCAGTATTTTGCATGTCATCGATCTGCGTGATCAGAATTGACCAGGACAAAGACCAGGTTCATTTTTCAGAACACTGTAGAATAATTTTGTTTTTATCTGCAATTCCTGAAAAAAATACTCGATGATAGTGAAAGAGTAAACTGCGTTCTATAATTCTCTACACCAGAAATATGGTAGACGGAATGTAGCTAGATGTTCATAGGCATTTTAAGAAGGGTTATCTCGACCATTTGTTTTGAAAATGTGGCGTTTCTCAATATTTGAGCAACATAAAGTCTTTAATTTAAAATAATTAAAAATTCGATTCCTAATGCCAATTTTATAACGGCTGCAACTTGAGCTTGCTAATATAATAATAATAATAAATACTCGATTTTTGAATTTTTTATATTCTATTCGCAAATATTTAATACATCTTTATGAAAGTGGGTTGACAGAATGAATTAGATATATGAACTTAAATATTATATCAATTCTGACCATGCTCCATTGTTAATATTTTGTTAAATCTATCAGTACGCTTGCATATCACCTCTGAAATAGGAATGTATCGAAAAAGTCATGACTTAACCCAGGAATATGAGCATTTCATATGCGTCCTTGTTCTCATGGTACCCGAGGTACTCTCTTTGCTGCAGACTCACAGCGCTGTGATTAGATGGGATCAAGTAACCCCGGATTACGTTTGAATATATTGTTATTGCATGAAGTAAACTCAATGAAACATTAAATACTTAACTTCATCGCTGGGATAACTCATGTCAAGTTGAAAAGTATTCTACCTTGCCAAGTTTCCACAACGAAATCCTAAAAACCCGACTAATTGCTTCTTCGTGAATATTATGGCGCCATGAGAACATATAGCTGATCGCTCCTATATTGATCTTTAAAATCGTACCATCCGAATATTATTATTACATTGGGTGATTTTTGGCCTGCTCCGACACTTAAAGTTTTTCGCAACTTATAATGAGAACTATGCTAATGTTGGAATTGTATTTTTTTTAAATGTTTTACATTCCCCGAAGGACCCTGCGACGGGTTGCAATTTTCGCGGCATTCCCAGTTTGATCTGAGATCGTATGTTTTCATCTTCTCTTCCTCCTTACATCACGTCTACATTTAGAAGAAGTATGTTTTGACACACGAACCGCTGAATTAACCATGCAAGTAAAGAAAACTATGGATTGTGCAACATCAGTGCATGGACCTGGTTCTAACATGACTTTTTGGGATAAAATTTTGTCTTTTAACCAGGACGATGCGATTCAAATTTAGCCAAATTTAAACTAAATGAAATGTTAGGATTTAAAATAAAATCTCAATTAGTCTTCGATGGTTTATAACAAGGAGCACGGGAACGTTAATGCGTGTATAAGCGCCAATCAGAATCTGATTCAATTCCAAGCGATGAAAGAATGCGGTTCTTGACTGGTTTCTTTTAAGACACAATTATTTGGTTATTACCAGCAATTGCAGCCTAAAACGTTATTGCTGTAGAAAGCAGTATAGATTCTCCTTTAATCGTCGGATTTAAAATACTTAAAAAATTATTATCAAAATTAGTTGTAAACTCCTCACACTTGGAAACAGGGCAATGGTGCAATTGTCAACTCTCAGGGAAATAAATAATTCACATTTGGTTTGTAAAATTTATTGTATAACCGTTAAGGTCATACGTATCAGATATAGCACCGCGGTAGAAAGTGTGATTCTGCACATAAAGAGGCAAAATGAATACGCTTTTTCAGGTTTTCTCTGAAGCTGCAAACAATAATTCTGATATAATAATGTTTATATATCCGAATAAATCAGTTTGGACACCAGCACTCGCTAGTGATCATAATGATTTCGTCTGCTTTTTTTCTTTAGAACTTGATCCAGAAAGGATAGTTATTTACAGATTCTTCGAAATCCTATTTCGATTCACTAGCAGCCAATTCCCGCTCATTGCAACTATAAAGCGTCATGTTCTTAACCAATTTTTAAAAGACGAGAAGCATTTGTTGAACTTTAGGAGATGATCTATACGTAGGTGATTAAAAACAACCATAGTAAGCAACCTTGATCCCATCATTATTTCAACCACGTGGAAAACGAAAAAAGCTGCCAAGTCTGCGAAATTTAGCGATTTTTGTCCGCCAGACGTCAGGCATATATTCAAGAGCACGCGAGAAGTAAAAATGTGTCGAATTATTTCGAAAAAAATTAATTTATAGGAGCATGCGATAAACTAACGTTTGTAGAAACTGAGAAACAATTAAGTATACCATCATTTCCAACTGGAAGTACTGTAACAGTAACTTCCCAGCTAGCACACAACGTTATCCCAACGTTATCTAAAGGTTGTATTTAGGTTAAGTCATGACTTAACATTAATACAACGTTCCCACCACATTGTAGTTCTTAGCGTAAATGAGAACACGTTGTGTCAACGTTGGTGGAACGTCGCCAATCAACGTTCCTTATCCACGTTGTAGGAACGTTATATGCTGACATTGCCGCCACGTTGGTTAAACGTTGCCGTTTAACGTTCCTTCTCCACGTTGTGGGAACGTTTTATGCTGACATTGTCGCAACGTTGGTTAAATGTTGCTGATTAACGTTTCTTATCCACGTTGTAGGAACGTTTTATGCTGACATTGCCGCAACGTTCGATAAAAAATAATTTTTCGTTGCGGCAATGTTATATTTTAACGTCGCAGTAACGTTGCCTTACGACGTTCGGCTACAAGTGATTCAACGTTACAAAAACATTGCTTATGAACGTCGCTGCAACGTTGAAACTCAACTTTCGCAAGTGGCATATATATAAATGAAATGATAAAGAAATTATTAATTTAGCAAAGATCGCATCAGTATGTAGCTATATCTCATGCTCCCTGATGATGGCTCGATCTGAAAGAGAGTTGATAGAATTTCTCGTGCGGATATATAATGATAAATATATTTGAACTTGACAGTTGCCTTGAGTAAAGTTTAATTTCAGCGACCTCGTGTGTATCATATGTAGGCCTAAATAAGGCTAAGATTGTTTCAATTTGCGCCGTTTTCATAATGAAATCATACGCCGGTATCGTCTAAAGAGCATGCAAGGCCGAAATGGCAATGACGGTAAATATGATTTTATACGGTTTTTTAATTTAAATTTTGAGACATAAAATGAGTTTTAAAATGAAATGTTTTGCCCCGGCTCTATATAAAATATATATAGTGTGTCGTGTGTCGACTTTGTGTTTGTTTGTCCAAATTCCTGTTATTTGATACACGTGCATTGACCGTCGGAAAGGTGGATGGAAAGCAATGAGTCCAAATATGGTCATTAATGCTATATACGGTTACTGAAATAACTGATTCGGTTGCTGGCGCCAACTGTCATTGTGCTTGCGTCGAAGCGAACAAAACGTATTGTGTGTAGACTAGCTTTTTCAAGAGGTATATTTTTCAATTTGAGTACTCGTTTGTTTGTTTGGCAACTTTCTCGACGTCTACAACGTAAGTATATATTTTATCTGTTACATATAGTTGATATGTCCCTCTTATACGCCATTGGTCTTGATAAAATTTGTGTTTGTAATTGTGTGTGTGATGCCATTTTAATTTGCATTTTGTAGCGACTGCGTCTGTATTAGCAGCATTATTGCAAATTCTGTCTTCTGAGATCTCTCGTGTGTTGGATTGTTTGATAAAGTAACAATTCAAGTCTTATGTAAAGGTAAACAAGTCTTATATTTGTTATAGTAGAAATGTTTTCATTCGTCAATTTGAACCATTCTTTGCTATTGGGGTCAAAGGTTGAGGATTAGTCCTTTTGGGGAAAGACTTTATACTTGTATTCTGAAAATATCTTTATCATTCATCAGTCTTTCAACCACGAATAACTTCAGCAACGCATGGTTTTGTGTATTCCCAATGTATGTAATTCGAAAAATGTAAATATCACGAAACGATGCGCTTTATAATCTGTAATGGCTTAATAATGAATACACTATAACTCAAGCCAAGCTAGGTCTGGGTCTGCATGTTTAAAAGCCTGTTAATTGCTGGCTTAAAGTTAATTAAATTCAAAGACAAAGCTCTTTTATATTTGAAATTTGTCTAGATCATTTTTCTTCTACAAACGTTTTGACATATAAAACAATTTGCATATTTGCTTCTTTTGAATCATTATCTAATTGTATTGTGTAAGTAGACCTTAACATTTTGCAGCCTCAGGTTAATATCAATAGAGGCCAGAGATTGCATATAGGCCAGTCATAACCCACTGAATTGGGATGTGCCCTGATGCCCCTACTTTAGTATTTTACTCTGCTAATGCCAAATGATTTTACTTGTTAATTAAGGGAAAATGGTGGCAGTTAATGGGTTTAACTTACCTATAGCCGTGATTATACTATGATTCTAGGCCTACTTTGGACTAGATTTTTGTAGTCTACAGTAAACACATTTTGGCGAGGTCTAGACCATGAAATCTAGACCCAAAAAGAAGAAGTGGTCCACATTTTCTGCCCCAGGTCAAATCAAAATGCGATTGATTACAAAAATCTAGGCCTAGCCTTGGCTCATAATGTAAACATGGCTTATCTGTCCATGTGTCTGGTTAACCTATTATGTAAGTCCCATTGCGGTCTATAGTGACTCAATGGGACAATTAGATACATACTGTATATAGACAGCAAATATTGAACTACACATGCATGTGGTAATACAAGGGACAAGCATAGTTACATTACAGGGGGGGTAATTTGGACTAGAGCAGAAGTATAGGGATAGAGCTACCGGTACCTTGAACATTTAAGAAAGGTCGAAGTTTTTAAATAAGCAGGGTTTCATATGTATAATATTTAAATAGGTTTGTCAGAGGAGAACAGGCTAACATAATTTAAAGTCATCAAGAGAGATGCTGTTGTCATACAGTTCTTCCTTTGACAAATGTTTCATTCATATTCATGAAAGCCTTCTTATTTCAAACTTAAACCTCCCCTGAATGTTCAAGGTATGTAGCTCTAACCCACTCCCTATGTTCTAATCCTAATTATTATGTGTTTTATGCTGGGCATTGACCTTTTATATCTTGAGATCTTTACTCTATACGGTAGTTGTCCAACATTTCTGCAGATGCAAAGACAATCTGCAATCCATATATTTTTTCAGTCTATGTACATATACATTGAATGTATATGCACCTATCATAAATAAATAAATAAATATTATTATCAACTATTACTATGTAACTCTTCACATATACACCAGACACAGATAAACAATGACTACCTTGCATATTTATGACTGATACCAGAGGCTGTTTTGTCATAATGGTATATGTATACTGTACATGTACATCCAATGCCTATTAGACGCTACTACCTGTAGCATAACATTTTTTATGTGGAGCTTTTACTAAGCCTCTTGCCTCGCCTATTTAGACGTTAGGATGTGCATGATAGCCAATTCCAAGAAACTAGAACTTATATGTTCTTTTTTGTATTTCAGGATCGCAAGAACAGGACAAATCAAGCTTAGAAATGATTTAACACGTGCGAGATGACATTGTCTTTTCTGATTTCTCATATTTCTATCGCCATATATACTGTACCTATGATTTATCAATATTCGGAATATACAGCTGATTCAAATAAGGTTGTCCTTTCACAACCTTAAACGGTAAACTTTGAGCGCGCCTATTAACCTTAAACACAAAATAATTAAATTGCCTTTCAGCAAGTATGCTTTAAAAAATCCGTCGTGAGTCTTCTATGTCTTGCCGGGGTATTATTGCAGTCTAAATAGTCTAAATATGCAAAGAACCATCATCCGTTGAGCGTTCAAGGTCTAACGTTTATGGTTATAGAAGGACAACGTTAATTGAATCAGCTGTAAGTAAATAAGATAGTGTAATTGTTGTAAATCAAACGATTTTCCAAATACAGGTATTACACCGAACACTTTGTTTTAAACTCGTTTATTTACGCCTTTCAGTAACAATGTTTTGTCAACATATTCGTTGCAAGAACCTGCCACGATTTTATGCTGGCGAATTTTAGAAGTTAATTTGGCTGTTTATATTCTTACAACGTTAATTCCAGAGGTTTTCTGGACGTTAAACGAACATTGCAGAAACGTTGAACCAACGTTATGTTCTAACGTTAATTCCGACGTCACCACGTTCCTGCGAGTTCACAAAATAACGTTCCCACAACTAATAACACCACGTTATCTTAACGTTCATACAACGTTTTTCTGAACGTTAACTTAACGTTGCTGGAACGTTGAACCAACGTCATGTTCTAACGTTAATCCCGACGTTGTCTCCACGTTCCTGCGAGTTCACAAAAAAACGTTGCTACAACCTATAAAACCAACGTTGTCTCAACGTTCGGCGAACGTTCGTACAACGTTCGTACAACGTGATTGTGCTAGCTGGGTTAGGGTCTGCGTGATTACATGGAGTGCTAAGCTACTCGGGCTGGAATTATCATGTAATCGTAAACAAACTTAAACCCGGACAGAAAACTTAGCCTTAATAATGATTTTTCGTTTTTTTATTTCATTTCTATGTGCAATCATCAACAATCAATTTATTGACATTGGGGGTTTTAAGCCCCTCCAAGAATCGAAATAGATCTACTGCCAGCCTTTACAAACTCAGCACAGGCTGAAATTTCAGCCTGGTCTTAAAATAATTCTGACGTGTCATAAACACAGCCGTGGGCTGAAACTTGCCATTTAATTGAAAAATACTTTAGGCCCGGTTTGCCAGGCTGAAATGACACCATGTAATCAGCCTCTAAGTACGGTAACTGTTTTTATGTGTCCGTTTTATCATTATAAAACTTTCTTTTTAAAAACCCTCTGTTCTGATTGGTTGACGAGGAGCCGAAAAACCCATATCCGGACCTTGGTCCGCATATTCCGTATCTGAACCAATATTTCGGTTGTTGACCTTTGCGCGATCCTCGCTTCTACGTCGCTCGGTCTCCACTAAATGCCTCGGTCTGATATTTCAAAGTACAGACCACACGCTCGATCAATAATCAGATATTATTTTCGCAAAATCAATTTAAATTTATTAATAAACGTTGCGAATTTGCAAACATCATCGTGCAGACATCAACGAAATCTGTGCTTTTGCTCTAAGAATTTGCACAGCTTTTTTTCTAATTGTGTGTTTGGCGGATGATCCATCCATTTCTCCATTTTTATGTATACAATGTACACAAATCGATCATCAGACGAAATATTTTTCTTTGCCCAAGCTCGTAAAGACTGACATGCAGTTTGCCGCTACTAAATATCGAGCTATTCATTTACTCAACAGTTCGTAAACTCCGTGCCTATACTGTGTCTCCTCGCCATTCAAAATTTAAAATGCCGACGTTAATCTTTTGTTAAGTTATGCATGTAGCAGGTATAGCATGTAGCAGGCAGGGATGATAATGCAAGTAACAAAATGTTTGAATATTGGTTGTGATTTATTGTTATCTTTTGTTAACAGTATATAGCCAAAATGAAGTTATATAGTATAGCAATTAGATTATTGTATTAATGTTGGCTTTATATTTGTTATCAACTAAACAGAAAATTTTTAACATGAATTATCGAATCGGCGATGTGCGTTGAATTTTAACAAAGTTTATTTTCTTTTAGCTATAACCAAAATTGTTTCTGTTTTGCGAGCAATGAGAGTGTTAGACGTACTAGAAGTGCACTCATTTACAGTGGCGTAGCCAGCCTGACTATTTTGTCCCGCTATGTAAATTTCGAGTTATTATAATTATTCATGTCTTTAGAAATCCATTGTTTTCACAGTCAGTGAACACCAAAATATTAGCATAGCGGGACAAATCGACAGGCTGGCTACGCTACTGCTCATTTATATACCGTAGTACGTATTTGCCAGAGAGAAAAGAGACACATGAGGACTGAAAATCAACTGGAAGTTGTCTTTCCTTAACATGTGTAATTGTCTATGTTATAGCCAACTCTGAACTGAAAATAAGATTGAATGGTTCAAGTAACAATATGAGTGGAAGAGTGGAAATCTATCATCCAACACTTGGCTGGGGCACAGTGTGTAATTGGGGCAGTGGTGCTTATTTGAAGATTACTGAAGGTAACGTCATCTGTTGTCAGTTGGGTTTCTCAGGAGCGACCAAGATCAGACTCTGGGCTCACTATGGCAAAGGAAGTGGTCCTGTATTGCTTTCTAATGTTCAATGCTCTGGTGATGAATCGTTCATCTGGGATTGCAGTCATAATGGATGGAATAATCCTCTCTCGTGGTGCAATCATGGTTATGATGTCGGTGTGGATTGCTACTGAGATCACAATAATTCAAGGACACTGGGTTAGATAATAGACTAGATTTTCTTTTTCTTGCTGCTTAAATATATAATAATATATGGTCTGATATTTGACTAAACGGCCGAGCTTCAACTGCTTTAATAAGATAAAAGGAGTTGGGACACGATGCAGAAAACAACGGCGACGTCTGGGATAAAATATCGGTATTGCGTGACATGCGACCACTGCACACTAACACATCCCAAGACACCGATGACTGGTCTAAACATAAATATCTTACTAAAAACATCACTGAAATAAAGATATTTCATACTAAAAATATTACATACTGCCTATATGATATAAAAAATTAATACATAAACAATCCATCTCCTCATTATTTTAATCACAGAGAAAATGTGTTCGGCTGTGAGTTTCGTCCGCTTTAAAAGAGATGTAAAACAACACTAACTTCGAAAATTAAAATTCAGATATATTTCAGCTTGATTATATTATACTAAAATGCTCATAATCGTTTTGATTCATTTTTTTAACAAGTATTTGCTGGTATTTCGCATAGGCGTACGTCGCGCGGTTGGTGTTGGGATGTGAATTACTTACAAAATTTTAGTCAAATTTTATCAAATTTAACCACAATTTGGAAACTTTGGCTGAAAACTGCGATAAGACGGGCAATTTGTACCCATGAGTGGGGTCATGTTTGCTCAATTCGTTAATCTGCGCCACAAATTTTGTTTGGCCGTTCACTCATGCTTTTACGCAATTTGTGCCACAAGGTTCATTGGAATGTTTAATATTTTATTAGCTTCTAGCCCTCCTTGGATTACAGTTGCGGTACTTTTAAATTACCTTTAAAGAACAGGGTCAGGGTCAACCTCGCAGCCAGGCTTTTCTTCCTACCCTCTGTGGCTGACGCTGCGGCAAAAATCCTGGTTCAGGCTGGTCACGTGATTCTTTTGTTACGCTATTCCCGTGTGGGGATGGGTGGAACACAAGTAGCGCGTTTCTAAGTGTTTTCTCCTTTCGTGTTCTAAGGACTATAAATATCAAGCGCTGTTGTACTGCAAAGCGAAATAACCTGTGTCGTTATTGTTATTTGACCTCTGAATTCGCCCATCAACGCCGAAATTCGGAAGATAGTTAAGACAGGCCTTCGAGTGTCTGTATTGAATGAGATTTTGCGCTGTCACATGACCAGCCTAAACCAGGGTGTTCGCCGCAGCGTGGGCCGTGGAGCATGGGTTGAAAAGCCTGGCTTACAAAGTTGGGTCAGAGTGTGTTACCCGCATTCCTAAAGGTATAGCCGAATCGGTGAATAAATCTTTTGTTAAAGTTGTTAATTGTTTGTGGTTTACACCATGTAATTTATTAGATTTCTAAGCTTTCGGCCCGTGCAGAGCTCGGGCCATCATCAGAGAAAACTTTTCTCAATCAACTTTATTTAATAACACCATGCAAAACTTCAAAGAACATAAATCTTTTGTTATTAGTAAATTGAGGTCTTTTGACACATTTTGTACCAAAACGTTATGGAAAACTGGGTTTTATTACGTTACGCGGAAACCAAAGTTAGTATCGCAAAAACATAGCACCCGGACTGCTCTGGGGGTGTCTAGGCGCCTAGGTAGGCTCGTAGCTCGTAAGATCGAGGGCAACAAACAATAAGATAAGCAATCAAAGAACACGCTTATAGCTCTTACCAACGGTGCTTGGACTAGTTAGAAATTTTAAAAATTGCAGAACGATTTTGATGTTCTTCACAGAAACAAAATGCGCATAACAATTTCCAAGACGTTGCCTTTGTATTCTGCAGAACTGTTCCTGTTTGAGTGATCCGATCATATTATATATTTGATGCTTTATAATTGCCGTGTCAAAAAAAATTTCTTCACTACGCACAAACCTTTCATCATCAGGTTTAATATGATTTTAACGGGTTATAAATAGTATATTTGACAAGGTAATATTATTGAAAGACTGCTTTATTATGCCAAACGTGAAAAAAGGATGAAATTGCATTAGTCCAGTTTCCATATATTTAATACAGGGGCAGTAGTGCAGGGTGGGAAAGGGATTTTTGTGGAGCTGTTTCTCAAGTGAGTTTCCTTCCATTGACTTTGGTAAATATTTTGGAGCGCGATAGCTGAATTTGATTTCTGAGGTTGTGACAGGTAGAAAAACTATCCGATTGGAGTTTCTTCTCTGAATCTCGGCTCTAGACCCCCAATCCAATATTTTCTCCACAGTCCCTGTGATTTAAATGCTTTACACTAAAAATTGTAATTCTGAAGTAAAATATTACCGTAATAAGCGATGTTGACAGTTGAAATAGAAAGGCCGTTGCACCATAAACAAGAACTCGCTGAAATCTAATTCAATGAAGCACCGTGCCGTCGTCGGTTGTAATAAATGTTTTTGCCTTGAAAACGAATTGAGATAATAAGCGAGTTCGGTTGAAGAGAATTGTCCTTCAGGACAAACACACAGCAATTCATCACAAACATCGCATTTTAATGAAATATAGAGAGAAAATTTAATAACTCTTTATCTTGACAAAAATCATGTTTCGATGAAAAAAGAAAATGAATATTGACTATTGCGGTGCAACCAGCATGCCATAATCTCCCTTGACTTTATGGTTTTAAAAGACATATCCGATATGGTGCAACTCGCTCTATATTTCATTTAGATTAGAATTTGTAGGATTTGTAGTTTATTGTATAAAACAGTATTTTGCAGTTTTTAGCCGCGTCTCAATGAAAGATTGTCAGTCAGCATGTTGGTCAGTCAGTCTGTTCCTGCTT